TTAATTTAAGATAAATTTTTAATCTATATACCAAATTTTAAAATATATCATTGATACAAAATTAAGAATTGATGCGCTTTTGTGACTATTTGCTATCTATTAATTGAAACTTTCGATTTAATACATTTAAAAAAAAAAATTAGCAAAAAATAAATTAAATAAAATAAATGTTCAAAGTCCGTTGGGTTGATCTGCACCCAAAATTTTGGGCAAGAGTTAAACATTTATTAACTCATAACCTAAAGTGACCCAATCCGTGATGGCTCATGACCCGACTCTAATTGACGGGTTTACATAGTAATAAAATTATATTACATTGTGAAGTGTATTATTTTAACCGATTAGTATATATTAGAAATGTTTTACGCTTTGAACTACTTCCTTTGCTCCAAAATATATTATGATATAATTTTTTTTTATATGATAACTTTTTAAAATTATAATCTAATAATTTTTTCGAATAAAATTATAATTCAATTTGTACATCTGAAATATTGGAATTTTATCGAAATTAAAACTCTAAACTAACAATTTTATCCTAAAAGTCTATTTATATCTATCCTACGTGGCGCGACACTTGAAGAAAAATTAGAACGTCAAGTGTCGTTGTCTCGTAACCTGGCTAAAAATTTAGCTTTATATATTAATTATATGATAATATGTATATTAAATTGAATTTGTAGCATTAAAATGAGTTTGTCATGTTTGTTCTTTAGAAAACTTTCAAAGTTTAGCAGAAAAAATGACAAAAGCCACCAGTAAACTTTAGGGAGCTTGAATGTTAGCCTTTCTACTCCTCCCTCCTTAGCTTTAGGTTGCTCTAAAGTGTCGGCAGTTGTTATGATTTTTGGGTGTATGGTGAAAAAAGTTTTCACATAGTGGATATACGGTGAATTCGTGAAACGACAGTTTAACGATCATTAACATAAAAGACATTTGTATGGTATTGTGTACAAACTGAATAGTATATGATGAATTTAAAAAATATTGATGGAATTTGGTGAATTATGTTAAAATTCGGGAGTATTTCATGAAAAATGAAAAAACCTTTTTTTTTCAGAAGGAAAGTACATTGAATAGTTTTAGTGGAACTTTTAACTAATTTGAAATAATATTTATCTTTTTGGAGAAACTTCAAACCTCGTATAATTTTAACTTGTATAAAGGTGATATACCTATTTTTATTCGTTATGATTTGAAGGGTAACTATATCGATGAAGGATAGATTTCAAAATATTATATATATATATATATATATATATATATATATATATATATATATATATATATATATATATATATATATATATATATACACATGGTGTGACCACTTCACATAATCACATATAAGGCAATTAATTAAGTAAGGCAATAGGAGTCTTAGTGATGAGCAATAAATGTGGTTACCTTAACGTATGTAGGTTACTCTTTTGAATACGTGGAATTATTCTTTCATTTTTGAAAACAAAAGAATATGGGTTACTCGAATGAACAAATAGGGATACTTATTTCAAAATTGTTTGATTTTACTCGTATAATGAATTTGGGTTACTTTTATTGCCAACATAGGGTTACTCTTATAAAAAAATGAGGTTACTCATACATTAAAATGAAGATTACTATTACAAACCAATGTGGCCACATCGTATGGTTAGCTACATACAAGACTTACCCTGGTTGGAATTTAAGGCTTGTTCTCTTTAGTTTAATTTCAATTCAGTTCAACTCCAATGAGTTCAGTTCAGCTCAATTCTTAATTTCCTTCTCTCATAAACAATTCAACTCAATTCAATATATCAGAATAAGCCCTTAGTACGTATATTTTCTACTACCAAGTACAATATCCTAAATATTATTAATATTGAATTAACTTGAGTATGGATAATTAAAGATTATCTATAAGATACTTGATTTATTTTGCATCAAACTAAGGGCTTGTTCACATTTACTTCATTTCAGTTCAGTTCAGTTCAACCGCTAATTTCCCTCTTCATAAAATATTCATTTCAGCTCAGCTCAATTCAGTTCACTTCAGTTCATCTCATTTTAGTAAATGTGAACAAACCCTAATACTAGTATTCGTCTATGGTTTTACGATGGATCCAAACTTCTCCTTATAATTTGTAATTGTACTTGGTTGATTTTATTTGGCTATATATAATCTCAAGTTTTTTTTTTTTTTTTTAAAAAAAACACTATTAGCAATATAGTGTGTGTTGACTTTCGATTTTTTTTTTTTTTTTTAATAAATTCATACTCCCTACTATGTTTTAATTTCAAATTACTCTGTAATTGTTCAGCAATTTTTAACAGGATACACTAAAAAAAATGTCGTGATTCAATTATGTGCAAAGAAAAATATCTCAATTTGTTTTTGCAAAAAAAAAAAAAATGGTAGTCATTATGACCTTAAAAGATCAAAATTTGCATTCGAAATTAGATTTAAAGGACCACAATCGCCCCAAACTAATGTTACATATAGCGAAATGCTATAGTAAGGAATAAGACAAAATTACGATGATACCATGTAGAGTAAAACTAAAAATTGGATAACAAATGGAAAAACCAAAACTACAATGATACCAAATGGAAAATCTAGATAAAGGTCTATTCTCATTGATTAAACTCAGCTGAACTGAACTGAACTGAATATTTTATAAGAGAAGGAAATTAGGAACTGAACTGAACTGAATTTCAACGTATGAGAACAAGCCCCTAAATAACATTACTTTTTTATCGAGTGCATTAAGACCTATTTATTCTATTTGATATATAGTTCCCAATTGTCAAATACAAACCAAACAGATAAAAGAGTAAACAACTTTAAGAACCTCCTTCTTTCAAAAAAAAAAAAAAAAAAAAACACTTTAATGGACCTCCTTTTCCAATTTCCTTATTTGCATAAGAAAATGGGAGAAGAAGGTCAGGGTACTAGAGTTATGTAACCATTTCATAATATGGTAGTTTTGGGTTGGTAGTGTGCCTTCATATCTAAAATTGTTCTAAAATTTAGATTAGGAATGATTTATTGGGATTAATATACTTTGTTCATTATATACTGTATGTAGTATGTGGTATACTAGTAGTATTTACCTAGAGAATAATTTGAAATTTTGTAAATGTTACAAGATTTTAAATTTTTACAAAGTGTCCTATTAAACAAATTTTTAAACATAAAGAAATTAGTAGTCTTAAATGATGAATGAGAAATAGTAACACCTCCTTATAAAGACTATTTCGTATAAATTACAAAGTACGATTTACTAATTTTTAAACCAATTATCTCTTATAGTGTCTTACCTCCTTATAAAGACTATTTCTTATAAAGACTACTAATTTTTAAACCAAACTTAATGTACGGAGATAAGAGTCCGATTTACTCCACCGAAGGAAGTAGTACAAATTGGATGACATATTCAAGCTGTGTGACTACACATAAAATATAAATATACTTCGTATTATATATTATCATTCCTAGAAATTCAAAAGTCAAAAGGGAAAGGTTTACTGGTTTAGAATAGCAAATAACATTGCCTTTTGACTATATATCTCGTATCATCATTCCTAGAACTTCGTAATATAGTTTAGAATAGCAAATAGCAATAACAGAGATGAAGATGAAAATGAAAATTGAAAAGTTGGGTGTGTTTCATTGGACGAATAGCAGTGCCTTTTGACTTATAAACAAAAACAGATAGAGTTATTAGAAGAGTTATTAATTGAGGAGATATTATTAGTTGGCCAACTCTGATCTTTTTCATCTTTCAGCCTTGGTTGACTTGCAAGGTACCCTCTCCATTTTATGGAGTAATCTCTTTTGAATTTCAAAATTTGTTTCTTATTCTCACCTACAATCCCAATCTATCCATTTATTTCCTTTTCCCTACCAAATAGAAATTAATGTCATTGGTAAAGAACCCTTTTTGAACAGAATCTGTTAATTATGTTACCAGATTTTACAATTATTGGCCTGTTTTAAAGTTACTGCCCTTACTGGTAATGTCCAAGGTTGCATTAACGCATGCCTTTTTTTTTTTTCTTTTTTAAACCAGATTTTGGGTGGAATTTATAAGCTGCAATCACCCAATCACCTAGTTTAATCACCCAAATAAATAGATTTTTTTGCTGCAAAGGAGTATTAGATTTTTTTTACATGTATATACAAATAATAACTAAACAACAATTTTATTCAGAAATCTGAATTTCCTTGGCTACTTTGGTGTAGTCATAGAGATAATTTCCAAGCCTCTTTTTCAGATATTCAGCAATCAATTGTGTAATGCAACATACGGTGTACGAAGTAATTGCCTAATTGATAAACAACTGTAGAACCGCTAACTCAAACAGCCAAATGGGTGGTTGTGAAAAAATGCTTTAATCATTAAATTTGAAAAAATTTAACAAGAATAATCCAACTTTTCGATTAACCTTGAATAACGACCAAAAATCTTCTAACCAGTGGACTATCTATCCATATGGACCATATCTTCACACTTTCAGCATGGAGTACTATATAAACAGTCAGTTGCAAGTACCCAAAGTTTTTACACAAGTTAACAAGTGATTATATGCAACATACAGATAGCATTCTCGCCATTCAGGCATTCACCTACATGCTTTATATTCTTTAGACATTCCAAGTGTTCCACAGACCAACAAGGCACAAATAGTGGATATAATTCCAAGTGTTCCACAGACCAACAAGGCACAAATAGAGGATATAGGATCATACATTGATCGGTTCATTCACTAGAATACTTGCTATTGAATTATTTTTCAGAAATCTAAAACTCTCATCAAGCTGGTAATTAACAGTTGCATGTATTAATTCTGTACATAGATAGTACGCTTTATTAGTAAGAGGGTATAAATCTAGGATCAGGTTCTTCACGGGCCTTCTTTTCGAATAGGTCTGATTCTACGAATAATCAATTGGAGACGTTATACTACATATACTATTCAAAAGTTATGACACAAGTAAACCAAATACAAGTTGGGCACATTATTAAACCACCACTTTCCAAAGTGTGCTCAGGAGTCCTCACTTGGTAAAAACAAAGCATTATTATCATAATTATTCCAGCCAACGCCAAGGCAAGATTAATATAATTTTCTCTTAACCTTTCAACAATCTGAAGTTCACAAATCACAACAAATATCATTTAACTAATAACCTCCCCGCTCCCCTACTGTTTTAGAAAACTATTACCTTATAAGCTTTTCCTTCATTCGCTGAACAGCAGCCCTCAAGGTGTCTTCATCTTTGCAGAAGGTAAATCTGACAAGGTTCTTGCCCTCCTCAGGGTTCAGGTAGAATACACTTGTTGGGATCGCCACCACCCCAACTTCCTTGATCAGATACTCACAGAACGCAACATCATCTTTCTGACCAAAAGGGGTGTGATCTACAATCACAAAGTAGGTCCCACTTGATGGAAATACCTTAAAACCAGCTTCTTGTAGGCCTTCCACCAAAATCCCCTTTTTGACCTTATAATCCTTCTTTAACTCTTCAAAATAAGATTCCGGTGCTCTCAGAGCAGTAGCTGCGGCATACTGCATTGGGGTCGAAGTAGCAAATGTGAGGTATGAGTGTGCTTGCCTCACTCCCCATGTCAAATGTGGAGGTGCTATGGCCCATCCAATCTTCCAACCTGTTAGAGAGAATGTCTTTCCAAGAGAATTCATTGTCACGGTGCGCTCATACATGCCAGGAAGAGAGGCTATGGAGATGTGATCCATTTCAAATGATAACTTGTCATAAACCTCGTCAGAAAATACCAAGACATCATTTTCAATGCACAGAGATGCAATGACATCAAGCTCCTCCCGAGTGAACATCTTTCCAGTTGGGTTATGAGGAGTGTTTAAGAGGATTGCTCGGGTGTTCTTTGAAATTGCAGACTTGAGCTCATCAAGAGGTAGTGCAAACTCTGGTGGCCGCAAGGTGATGCCTTTTACTTTGGCACCAGCCATAGAGAGAGTAGCCTCGTAGGAATCATAGAATGGGGCAAAGAGGATGACCTCGTCGCCAGGATTTATCAAACCCAACATGGTTGCAGCAATGGCTTCTGTGCAACCTGAGGTGACAGTAACTTCCTTTTCCGGATCAACTGAAAGTCCTGTGTCTTTCTTAAACCTCTCAGCCACAGCAAAATTGAGGTCAGGAACTCCGTAGCCGCGAGCATACTGGTTTTTACCATCATTAATGGCTTGAATAGCAGCTGCTTTCACAAACTCAGGTCCATCAAAATTGGGAAATCCTTGGCCAAGGTTAATTGCTCCATGTTTAATAGCTAGCTGGCTCATCTGGGTGAAAATGGTGGTTTTAAACTTCTCTAAGCGCTTTGCAACCTGTTAAGTGCCCAGAAACTATCAGGGAAACAACATTTATACCTGAATATACACCATTTTTCATTGTTTAAGACAAAAGACAGGTTTTTTTTTTTTTTTTATTTATTTCTCTTTTCCTATGGTAAGTAATAAGAAGTTGCAGCAAGATAAGGTACATTCATGGCATAGTAACATATTTTGGTAGAAACAAGAATAGCAAAGGGGTAAAGGAGAAGAGCAAGTAAGTAGAGGTAAAACTCCACCAAAATGTATCTCAAGTCAGAAGTCAGGCAGGAGAGACTGTGTTATCTTTACCAGTTGAAACTGTGTTAATGCGGTGAAACAGGAGCAGGACAGAGCTGCAACAATACTTATGCTTAAATTACAGATCTTTGAATGCCCCTTGTTTCCCACAGGTCGTTAAGTGGCCCTTATTGGTATACTTGAACAGGAGGAAGTTCAAGATTTCATTTCGGAAATCATATAAAATCCTAAAGTATTGTATCAGAGGATAGTACAGGTTCATCGTTGTAGTATCACTAATCCAACAAATAGTATGTATGTTGATGATGGGCAATACGATTCCAAGACAGTAGACCCTAAGAAATCCCCAATTTCCAAGCAACAACTAATATATATAATTTAGTTAACAATTTGCCTTCACTATAAATCAACGTATTTGGAAATTGAAATAAAGACATAATTTAAAAATTAAAGTATAAAGAAGAGCGGATGCTTGGATTTGATTAGAGGAAGAAAGGGAATCGATCAAAACTTGAATGAGATTGGAATTCACTAATCAAAGAAGTCATTTGAATAATTGTGGGGTGGATAAAATTAAAGAATAGAATTAGGGAGAGAAGGAATACCTGAAGTGGGGGTTGAGCGATATCAGGGGAAAGAGTCGACATTGTCGCAGAAGCAGCAAATCTGCAATGGAAGTGAGTTGGAATCTTAATAAAAGGAAAAAGGCGCAGCATTTGAGAATGAGATGTCCAGGTACAATGGACGCTGTCTACGATTTGCATTTCACGATTTGAGGCCGCCCTTGTGCCGTGTCCAGGTTGGGGGGATCTAAACACAACCAAACCTAATACTGTATTATACTTGTGTCTAACTTCCTAACACTCCTAACTCCATGTCTCCATCCTCCCACTCAACTCAACTCGGTTCTAACACTTGTTTATTAGCCACCACCCCACGATGCACCCATAAAATTATCACATTACTCTAACTTGAAGGTGTCAAATTCACACCCAACTCAATCCGATTCAAATTTCGACTCGCATGGACACAGTAATTTAGCATGACTCAAATATAAAAATTGACTCGATTCAATCCGATCTCACCAAACCTGATCCAAACATTAAACCCTTAAATACTTGCTCCATTTTTCCAAGCGCGGAGTTTTACGAGAATTTAGAGAAAATAATAAAAATTGTAAAAAGCAAAAGTAGTGAGAAAACTAAAGGAGAGAGAGTATGAAATTAATAAAATATGATTTATGTTGGGTCTATTTGATGAGAGAAATGAATTAAATATTGTAAAAGATTTCCAAATAAGGAAATAGAGCAAGTATTTAAAAACGGCCGAAAAAAAAAAATGGAGTAAACATTTAAAAATGGAAGGAGTGTATATTAATGTGCTTTTATTATAGTATCATGTGCTTTTATTATAATATCATGTGCTTTTGTTCGGCCGCTTGTGTTACAAAAAATGTCATGTAGAACTACATTAGACTTGCCAATCCTGATCCTGAATAATCATACCCGTGACCCGAAAACGTAAACCCGAAAACGTAAACCCAAAATTAACCCGAACACAAAGATGACCCGATCCGAAGTGGAGTTGACCAAAACGTGACCCGATACTCGAAGTGACCCGAAAACTGAAGTGACCCGACCTGATTTTGACCCGAATTGATTGACTTGAACGGACTTGAAATCCGAAGCGACCCGAACTATACCTGAAATGACCCGACCCAAAAATAACAAATACTCTAAATGATATAACTGATTTAGGGCTTAATTACTTTACCTGAATAAAGACTTATCGAAAATAGCCTAAATTAAACATTTTTACTATTGTGGGTATACTACGGTTGAAATGTCCACTTACTTTAGTACTTGTAATTCATAAAGAGTTCCAGTTGATTAGGAACACTTGTTATTGTTATTAATACTATTACTCTTAGATTCTTCTAAGTGTTACATTGAATTTTATTCCAATATTCACTTTAACTAATTTGAATTTTTTTACCAATTAATCAATGATAGTGATCATACATATGAAACAATATACAATCTTGTGTATATAGTACTGTAGGAATTGTCTAATGAATATATTATTAATATTCAATTGTAATACTTCATAATTATTGATAATTGTAGTATATTATTGGTCAAATTTCTACATCTGCATAGACGAAGATTAGCCCTACTCGAATTTGACCCGACCTAAACTTGACCCGATAATCGTACCTAAAGACTGACCCGACCCAAACTCGAGCCGACCTGAACTTAACCCGATACCCGACCTAAATTACCATTGATGCAAAACTGACCCGAAACCCAAATTGACCCGACCCATACGCAAGCCTAATGACCCGTTTGCCAGGTCTAAACTACACATAAAGGGGAGAAGCTCTAATGGCCTATTGTGGTTGACTGAACTGAGCTGAACTAAACAGAATTGAACTTATAGGAGCTGAGCTGAATTGAATATTTTATGAGAGAATAAAATTAAAAATTGTACTTATTAGAGCTTAACTAAACATAACAGAAAGTAATCTGAAAAGAACAGATTCTAATTGGCGCTACTCTCATGAACATACATACTGAACATCGTTTTAAATACTTTGGTGGGGTATGGGAACGGATTAGATCAAAACAACAACTTAAGATTAGTTCAAAACATACAACTAACTTTAATATTCAGACCACTAAATTTTGCAATATGCTACTAGTTCAATTTTAATACTACCTCCGTTAATTATTATGTGCAACTTTGGGGTATTATTTGTGAAATATAAAATATTTCAAAGTTGCATATAATAATTAACAGAGGTAGTACAAAAAGTATACTCTGAATCTCAGATAGTTGTTCAACAACTTTCAATACATGCATATTGTAATAATGCAGATTCTACTGGTCTTGCAGAAGAGTCAAATGCGCTCAAGGGATTCACAAAGATTATGTGGCTAATCAACTTGAGTTTGGATGTCATTTCATAACATCAGTTCACGATACAATCCACATGACGTGCTTTTTATGAGATAACCTTTGAACCTTGAGTATCGAGTCAGCAAGAAACCGTTGAAGATTGCACTTGATCCAATTGCTAGATAACCTTTGAACCTTGAGTATCGAGTCAGCAAGAAACCGTTGAAGATTGCACTTGATCCAATTGCTACATGGATCTCTATAACTCTAACTCTGGCAACTCAACCATGGACACCTTCTGCAATCTACCTGCACAAAACCATGGAACTATGCTCTACAGTTCCGCTTGAAATGAGAAAAGTACTTATCATTAAAGCTTTTCACCATCTAAGAGTTCAGAATAGGACATATAGTTAAGTTATATAACACAATTTATTTAGGCACAGGGGATATGAAAAGACTAAACATTTAAGCATATTGGACATTTAGCCATCTAGGTAAGATCAATAAGAGCAGAGTGGCAGAGTCGCAGAGATATATGGAGATTGATGTGTTATACTACCTCCGTTACATATTATTTGCAACGATTAGACATTTTCCCTCTCTACTTTATGTCAAATCGTTGCAAATAATGTGTAACGATGTAGTATAAGGATTAAGGTGATAATAATTTCAATAGCAATCTGCAAAATGTATTATCATCACTTCAGATATGAACAATTGAACACATGCTGCACGTACAGTCGTAGATGGTAAATTATACAAGAGCCACATTAACATAACCTGAAAGGGCTGAAACCAAAACATCAAATAACAAAAAGTATTCAGGGCTAAAAATCCAAAAACAGAAAAACTTCAGCATTCAATCTAGAGATTTCTGAAATCAATTCATTTGTATTAACCAATTGGGGAATAGTGAAACTTCAATTTTAGGACCAAATCAGGTAAACTATATTTTATGATGCCAAAAATGAAAACAAAATAAAAGAAAAAAAAATGGACTCAGAGCACAAGCCTGTAGTAGTTATAAGCAGTAAATGACAAGCTTTTCAGCAAAGCTAAATTTTCAGGATAACACATGCCGGAACTCTTCAATATTATAGGAGAAAAGGGGGTAGGTAGGGAGGGGGAAAAAATGCATATTATCATGTCATCAGATTTTCTATCCTTAAAAGTTGGTAAAGGCTTTGATAATGGGTTTCAGCCCTTTCAGGTAAGGAGTAACCTTTTAATTGGTTCATCTAGTACAACTTAAAAAAATTGGTCCTAAGGACTCAGCTTTGTCACTCATGTGGCATGGAGAAATCTCTCTTACTACCTTTTCCCTCAGTCCACAAGAAAGAGTTTTGTCAGGCCTGAAGAAAGTTGGTTATTCAAGAGGTTCCCAAAAACATATGTGAATTCCTTCCTAGCCACAATGGATTCAAACAGCACCCTTACAGCTTTCCCTTAGCCCCTACAAGGTTACAAACCTCATTATCACAATTCCAAACAATAATGAAGCAAACTTAATATTCCAATGACATGAAAATAAGCTCCTACAAAAATATCAAGTCACTTGACGATGAATTCAATAAAGGAGTCTAGAAAATATTGCTAATGTGACAGAACATATAAATACCCTGATACCCAACAAAGTAACTAACCCCAGCCTCAAGTCCTCAGATTTTGAAGCATACCATTAATATCAATGTCACCAAACTTTTAACTTTAGAGGAACATTAGTCTTCCCAAAAACATTGGCAACAAAAAATACTGTGGAAGCATTGATGAGGAGGTCCTTTAAATTATTCCTATCCACACTGTCAACCCAATACGTTAATAATCCAGATCCAACTGTATCTCAACAGTCATAGAAAAATAAAGATTTTAAGAATTGCAAGGAGAATCAACAAACTAGATCATCAAAAGTCACTATGGACAACAATATAGCCCGCACAAAAACTATCAATATCAACATTACTCCAATGTCTTCAAAGAGGCTAAAACAGATGGAATCCTACTCTTGACTACTCTCTGAGATAGCATAAAGGCTATTTCCTTATCTATCCAAAATGCAACGACCTTAGCTACTTTAAAATAAATGCAAAAACATTTTAAAAGGCCTTAAACCTTATGAGTTATGATGCAACCCATTATAATCTAAACCACAAAGATAGTAAAGAGTCAACTCCACAAGAAATTCCAACCATTAAATAGATGACCTCACTCTCTAATGTATAAATAGCATTTCCAAGCAATATTACCCTAGCCACAAGCATTATTTGTTAATCTTACTTACAAGCATCTTCAAAGGACCCATTAGGAGGAGAGAGATAGAGAGAAAACTAAGATGGACCCATGTGGGTAGGAGAGAGATAGAGAGAAAAGAATGTAAAAAATGGAAAGTGATGTTAACAATTTCCAAAATAGGAAAGTGTAGCAACTAAAAAGAAAAGTATTTCAAGAACCACATGCATTAAGATATTTTGAGAGCTACAAAGACAATTAAGATACAACCTGAATTTAGCACGTTAGGCATTTTATTAGTCCATAAAGGCATGACCAACAAGATTAATCATCAAGTTAGATAGTGGCAGCAATAAGATTTCAGATATTCAGCTGGCAAAACAGTATACCTGACATCAGATGAACAAAATATTTTCTCTAAAATATTTTTCTTTGAATAATCTATCAGAGCTGTATATTGGAGTAATAACACAATCAAAACAAGCCCTTTTAATTCTAGATCCAGAAAACATAAGCATAACCTTTGAGGGAAGAAAAAAGCTACAAACAATTACCCGCAGAGAACCGTCTGTAAGTGGTTAGTAGACCAGCATTGAATGAACCGCCAACCATTGATCTGAATTACTGATGGGATTAGTCTGTAGGCTGGGACTACCAAAAAGCTCAGCAGGCACAATCTATCCAGTGGGTGGTTCATAGTTGCCCATTTGCCTCATTGCAGGCTCTTCGAAACATTTCTCTTGATATAAAAATAATAACCGAAGGCATACTTTCACAAATAATAGTAAATGTACAAATATATTGCACTTCTCCACCCCTATCTCGGAAGAAGGCTTGTTTTGACATTAGATGGTAAGTATATATTAATGGTATTAATGGATGTTTGATCTTCTGAAAAGTTAATGATCAAAATCTGAATCCAATATGTACATACCCTTTAAATAAAAAATAAGAGTAAAAACTCCATGCAATGGCTATACTATTTCAACTTAAAACATTGCTCAATATCAAATCAATGGTTTTTCTACACGAATTTCATTTTCATAATTGCCAAAAAACAAATCTATAATGCGTAACCTTAACTTAGTAATCCTATTGTAACTCAAAACAAAAATAGTAATTAAAAGTATTTTCTTTATTTAAAATAGATTTCAATCTTACAGTCTTACTAATCAACCAATCCAAGAGATTATTTCCCCTTGCACGAAGCAAAATGCTACTCTGGGAAGAGCTAAACAAGAGAAATCCATCGTTTCATACACCAAAGAAAAACAAATGCAAATCCACAGACATTTTTACCAGAAGGCACAAGTTGATTTACACTTCACTATCAACAGATATGCTTAGTGAGTTGTGATTAGGATCCACTCTCACTGGATGGAGCAATCCTTTGGCTTATTAAGCTATGAATGGATCTGACCTCTGCTATAGCAGAATCGCCTTTCCCGATCATCTTTTCAAGTTCCCCAACATTCTCTGACAGCACTGTCACGTTTGAGTTGGTGGATTCTATCAACTTCTTTGCAGTATCCAAAGCAGTACACAGCTAAGAGAAGAAGAGGAGAGGGGAGCAAAGAAGAAAAATATAAGTGGTTTTTTTAAAGGAAGCTGAATACTACAGAGAAGCGTGATGACAAATGCTCTTGTAGAATAAAGGATTGCAAGCAGTTGAGTAAAAACAAGTTTACAAGCAATGAAGAATAGGAAGCAAGACAATGAGGGGGCATTTGGTTTGAAAAGTGGAAACGGAGTGGAAAGGAAACAAATAAGAGGGGGAAAAGGAATCATTTAGCTATTACCTTTTCATTTGTTTGGTTTAACCATATAAAGAGTATTTGTTAAGAGGAGGGTAAGGGTATTTGTTACCACAAGTTTTTGAGAGGTAACAAATAAGGGGTAATCATTACCCTTAGGTAATGGTAATTGTTACCATGCCTTCAAACCATGGTAACGGTATTGGTTTAATCGAATCCGTTTCCAATTCAAAAAATACACCAACCAAACGCCCCCTGAAAGTGTATAATAGTTCTGGTAAGCGGCAACTGAAGAAACCCGGTGAACACAAAAGCAGTGTAGCATGATGCTATGATAATTAGTAGTCAGAGTTAGAGGAGTTTTATACAGGTCAAATGAGTTTACCTTCAATGTCAAACTAGTCCATGAATGATCTGTCCCATCAAGTGCCTTGTTCAATTGCTCATAGTTTTCCTATAACAAGCCATGATTGAAATGAGATTGATTTCTAAACAGAATTGAAATCTACACTACTAGTAGAAGTGAGAACAGATTCTTGAATATGGGGCAAATTTTGATGAATTATAAAAGGAATTGTGATTATTCATCACCAATGTCCATAAATTAAACTAAATTTGAGTAGAGCAAACAAAGCAAAGCAGATAGTTTAATGACTGACATAATATCCCTTTTAATTTGTTAAAGAAATAGAAATGGGAGTAGTATCCTTCCAAAACCCCAACAAGAGTACAACTTTGGTTGAAAATACAAGTCAAGAACGTCGAAGAATATAACTTTGATAGTAAAATACAACTCAAGAGCACAAACCAAGATTGTACCTTTTCTGTAACATTAAACCAAAATAGAATTGAGCAACAAAAATTGATAGAATTAATTGGGTGATAAATGAGTAAATTTAAGGTTTGATAATAATAGGAAACTACATAGTTTAAAGACAATTTACCTGGAAAAGTTGTGTAAGGCGAGAAGGATGAAGATCGAGGTGGATATCAGAGGAAGAAGGCAAAGCAGAAGGAGAAGAGGGTGTTTGAATATGGGGAATTGGGTGCTCCAAATTATCTTCTGATTCTCCAACATCGCACAGCAGATCTCCGATGCACAGCAACGGTCCTCCAACACCTCTCATCTTCTCTCTCTTTCCGACCTTTTGCTTCTCCCACCAACACACTTCCTTCTCCGATGATCAATGTTACTCGTATGCTTGCTCCCCTGGCTTAGATTTGTGACTCGGGAACTTGGGAGAAAAGAGGAGGGTAAGGATATTACTAATTTACTACCCCAAAAACCCTCGTTCAATAGGAAAAAGTATTCTTTAAATTGTTGAAGTTTGGTTCTAAGGCCCTTATTGATAATTAGCTGGTAGCTGATTGTATTAGCTGGTTATAACAACTGGTTTGACTAGCTGGGTATAGTAGCTGGATTGACTAGTTGGTTATGATTAGCTGATTGTATAATAATGTTTGGTAAATAGCTGTTAATTGTTACCTGTTTTAGTGTATTTAAGAAACAAAAAGTTAATTGTACAATAAGCTAATTTTAAAAAGCTCTTATAATGAGATTTTTCTAAAAGAGTTTTTTGAGCCCTAAAAGCTCTTTTAATAAGCTATATACCAAACACCTAAATTAGCTTTTTTAATGGGTCAAACATCTAATTGGACAAAATAAGCTAAAAGCTCTTTAAAAAGCTTTTTACCAAACACACCCTAAAACTCCTAATATTACGGAGCACAATTTTTCTATGATTAATAATTAATATTGAAGGTTTGATACAGAGTACAAATCATTTCTTTCAAAAAAAAAAAAAAAAAAAAAATTTGTACTCAAAAAGAAAATTATACACCTGATCAAATTTCATACTTAAAAATATATGACTATTTACATGACATTGAAACAGATATCATTTCAAATCTCCCATCTTCTATTTCCAAGCTAGGATTAACAAGAACTTCAAACTTCAAAGAGGAATTTTTCCCTTTAAGCAGCAACATCCTTAGCACAATCAACCATATTAGATAGAAGTTAGGACTTTTAGCATCATTATGTTTCCTCATCTCTAATCCCACAGCCCTGACTGATGAGCTTAACCCAATGCCTTTTGCCTCAACTCTTCCGTGATTCTGTTCATTAACATATGCCTTGAAAGGATTTTTCAGATACTGATCATCCTTTTGGGCCTTGTATGACTGGTACACATCTTCAGCAATGATATTCCCAAACAGGAACTCAGCTGCTTTATTTGTAACATGAAGTGGAATATACTCTAAGTCATCCCATACGTATAGCTGCATTTTACAAGAATAGTCAAGTACGAGCAATATGAGAACAAGCACTTGACACTCACATCACCGCTCACGACTTGATCATGTTTTCAAAGTCCAATAAGAGAAATAGAGCTAGTAACAAGAGAAAGTCATACCATAAATGGCCTATATATTAAGCCTACAGTATGAAGTCGATTTGAGCTCTTAACACAATATAATGGACTTTGTTTACCCACAGTTGTGGAGCTGGTGCAATCAAGAAAGATCAACACATCAGTATAAAATAAACAATGGCTGTGAGTTGAAATTTTAGTGAAAAGTTGTACAGGGATCATACTCAGAACACAAGGGGAAGCCACAGAGATGGCAGCCAATACATATCATATCTTCCACTATGAAGTCAGACTTAGTAGTCAATCGACTACTGATGAAGAGCCTTTCATTGTTAGCATCAGGCCACAGAGAATGCAGAAAAACTTCACCAATTGATGCATGAAAAACGGCCTTACAGGAAGTAGACAGGTGCAACACTTGTGAAAGTAAGAAACATTGACGGGGTTTTTGCTCCTGGTGCACATTCCAGTTTCGAGGAGCTGGAGTCGTCTAGCATAACATACATATATATAAATCATCAGAGAGCGGCTTGTGATAAAGATAAAAAAAAAAAAAAAAAAAAAAAAAAGAGGGGGAGGAATATAATACATGGTGGAAGTTAGGTTGTTGATAAGAAAGAGTGGATCTAGTGCGTTGCACCCATTGTATAACCCTCCTAAGCTTATCCTTAGCAGTACCAACAAGGCGACAAGTAGTGAGCAAATCATCCTCACCTATAATAACAGAACATATTATTGGCAGTCCGGGTACACTGTACTTGATGATAGGAATCATTTGAAACATAAACGTTTTCGGTCTGTATAGTATTGAAATTAGAGACAGTAAAAAGGAGTGAAATAAAGATACCTTGAGAGAGAAGTGAATGAAAAGGATGGATGAGACAAAGAATAGAAGAATATTCAACAGAAGTGGCTTGAAGCATACCAGCATATGAACATACTTTGACGTCTAAACAGAAACAGACAAAAACTATTCAAGTAAGTAATGCTCCAAATAAAAAGTGTGAGTAAGAAAAGAAATAGGCAAAACTAACTTCTGAAGAAAAGGATATCTCCAGCAGAGATGGAAGAAGCGAGATTGTTATTCCAAAGGGTAATGCTGAATGTGGGTCGAGTTTCGTCCCCAACCGATATGTCTGAGCGAATCAATTCACCTCGTCCTCTACCCATTTCTGGTCCTCGTGATTTGTACTTTATGATTTTCCAAACAATATACAGTATACAAAACAAACGAACAAAGTAAAACTTAAAATTAAACCCAGAAAATGAAGGTTACATAATTAGGATGAAGAGCTCTGCAGACCTGAACGGGAGTGGAGTGATGTACGAATACGACAAGTTGCACAAAATCGCCGACGTGAGAAGATGCCGCCGATAGGTCTATTAGAGGTCCGTACCACCCCATTCCCATTCCCTTTCCCTTTCCCTTTCCCTTTTCCGCCATTGATTCACGCCACAGCGCAACCCCCTCTTTGGCCTTTTTCCCAACCCTTTTTCTATTTTGTTAATGAATCAGTCCCGTCTTTTAATTTTACTCCGTAATTCTGTATTTGTTCGTCTATTTACTCCTTTCTCCCTAACGCAGTAACGCATCACTTTAATTAGACATGTCGGTCTATACAACTAGTGCTGTCAAATTTCAAACCAAAATCGTTTAACTGTCCGAAACCAATCGATCCAAATGAGAACTGAATTGATTAAAAACCTTTTTTTTTAAACAGAAAATCGACCCGAACCATATGTGAATGAACCCGAAACCGAACAACGTTACACCATATAAGAACTGAACTCGTTAATGAACCGAACCAGTTCTAAATCGAACTGAAATCAAACCGAACCGAAAAAGAACCGAACTGTTTCTAACCCGAAACCATTTTCAACTCGAAACCGTTTGAACCAGGATAGAAACCGTTTACACCGAACCGTTAACAACCCGTGACCCGTTTGCACCGAACTGTATATAAACCGATCCGCTTGCAAATCGAATCGTTTATGAACTGGACCGCTTATAAACGAATCGGCTACAAACTGCTTACTATAAAGAGAATATTAAAATCAAGTTAAAAGGTGTTTTAAATGAAATTTAATTATCATAGTACAAAAATTCTTCCCGCCAAATTAATATTTATTATCATAGTATAAAATATCTTCCTGCCAAATTATTATTATAGTATAAAATATCTTCCTGCCGCTAAAAATCCTCCTGCCATAAACTAAACCGAAAAAAAACCGAACCAGTTATAAACTGAACCGAAAAAGAATCGAACCAGTTATAAACTGAACCGAAAAAGAACCGAATTGTTTCAAACCCGAAATAGTTTCCAACCCGAAACTGTTTGATCAACCGGGATAAAAACCGTTTATACCGAACCATTAACAAACTGCAACCGTCTGCGCCGAACCGTTTACTACCCGGACTGTTTACAACCCGAACCAAATTAAAACCGCTCAAGGATAAACCGAAACCGAATCGAACCGATAACTATTTAAACCGAACTGGAACCGACCCGCGAGACACTTAAACTGATTTCAAACCGACCCGATTTAATACCGAACTGAACCCGAACTGGCAAACTGTATTGACAGTGCTATATACAACTTTAATCTTCTACTACTCGTACTTTTACTACCTTCCGGTCCTAGTACATCCTAGTATCGGTTCTTAACCTCGCCCTTGTGGCTCTCTAAACACACACACCCAAAAAAAAAAAAAAACTTACTTGTACTCCTTCTGTTCCATAGTATTGTTCATGTTTTCCTATTTTAGAGATCTAAAATATTATTTTTATTTCTATTTTTTTTAATAACATGTAAAAGCAACTTCAATGGTAAGCTATTTAAATTAGCTTGTCATGCCACATGCCACATATGATTTCAAGCTAACTTTCTTTATAGCTATTTTGTGTCCCAATAGTTAGCTACTAGCTTGCTAATTAAATAAGCTTGACTTTCTCAATTAGCCCTAGAAATTTAATTATTTTAATATATTAATCTCCAATAATTTTGAAAACTTTTTTGTCAAGCAAATTAACTTAGACAAGCTAATTTGCTTGACCAAGCTAATTGTATTTTTTAGCTCCAATGGACAAGCTAGTAGCTAGAGATTTTTTGAAAATTGCAAGCAAGTCCCTAGCTACAACCATTGGTGTTGCTCTAAGGTCCATTTTATTCTCACCTTTTCAACTTTATTCATTGTAATTCCTAATTTACTCTTAAATTTTGCACATGCATTTTACTTTTTCTACTTTTTTTTCTCTAACTTTTGTCTGTGATTGTACTTTTCACTTTTATTATGTACTTCATCCACTTTCTCCTCTTAGTTCTTAAATACAGTGAAAAACACAAACAAGAACTATATTATGGGACGGAGGGAGTCCTTCCTTTTCTCACTTGGTACCCACTCTAATTTGGGCAAATTCCACTAACTGGCCACACACTAAAGAAAAAGGGGGTTTCTATTTCGTATTCAGATTTCCCTCCACAATCACTTTCACATTCAATTTCTTCTTCCTCCTCCACAGTCACATTTCCTCACCTTGGATGGTGATGAGCTAATGAAAGACATTGTATCTCCTACAATTTATGCAACAATCATCAACAAAACAATCAATTATCATACAACAAGCTCACAAATATCATCAATTACCAAAATCTGGGTTAAGTTCGAAAAACCCCCAATTTAATTATGAAAAACCCTAATTTCCAATTCAAGTCAAATTGAATGAATCGAACAACAATTACAACATTAAATTCCTAATAAAAACACATTCCAAACTACAAAAATCGTATAACTTGAATTCTACTTTATAAAATATTGCAATTTTTTTTGAAGCTTTTTTTTTAAAGCCTCATAAAAAATTTGCAATTAATGATTTTAATAAACAAAAATAATAATAATTTAAGTGTGTTCTTCAATTAACTTGTCGTACAATTGGTGTAAAAAAAATTTAAGAGCGCTCTTCAAAGAATTCACTTGTCAATTTGCAAAACTTGGTGTAAAAATTGGTAGATTTTCAGGGGAAAATACAAAATTTTAAGTTTGGGAATAGTTTGTGAAACAAGGGAGGAAATAAATCGAGGAACAACTTTTATAAAAACCAAAAAACATCAGTTATGTGGGGCCCATGCTTGGAAAATTGGTCGGAGTATAAGTCAGGGCGGTAAAGCATACAAGTTTTGTAAAATATGGGTGGTTATTTTTAATTTTTTTTTTAAAAAAATGGGTGGTTATTTTAATATATTGTACATTTTGGGGCGGTAATTTAGAAATAAAAAAAAAACCTTTTTCTTTTAAATTTTATTTTATCATCCATGAATAAATGGAAGAGCTTGAAATCGTAAAAAGAGATGACAGAGAAAGAGTGGAAAATGAATGGAAGGGGAGAAAAATGGAAGAAAGCTTAATTTGGTGAATCAACAAATTAAATGAAATAACACTTAAATGCATGAAATCTAAACTCGCCAAATTTTGCCAACTTTATGAACAGTGATTTTCATTGACTATACACTCATTACACTATTCCTTTCACGTTTGACAAGTCTCTCTTTTTTAATGGGTAGGGATAGGGATGAAATATGTAGAGCAATCTATAAGAATTTTAATAAACCTACTAAAATAGAAAAATGGAAATTAAAATTCTGTTATGAAATATTTGTGGATATCCATTATCCTCCTTTGTATCATTCCGGAACAATCTAGATCTAGGGTTTATATTCTTATCCATTCAAACCCTAATATATTGTATTTATATATACCCCATTATATGGAATAGAAATACACTGATATATTCTCTATCAATCTCTCTTATATTTCTCTCTATTTTATAACACGTTATCAGCACCAAAGCTCTACTCAATATGTAAATTTTATTGTTGATTTCTTAGGTTAATAATTAATTCGTTGTATACTGAATGTGTTAAATTATACTCATTATTATCTTGTTGTGTCGCATCTTGGGAAGAAATTAGAAGGAGATTAATCTTGATCATGGGTTTTGGTCTTTTAATAATGAAATCACACGTTTCAAGAATCTCATATCATTCTCAATCCTCATTAATTTATTTGGGACTAGTACAAGGAGTCTCACGATATTAATAATTTGGTTACAAAGAACTACTTTATAATAGATTAGCCTTAATCAAGGGCTATACTTTATTTTCTTTTCATTGACGTTTTCATGAGTTACAGGCTAGCAGATGACATTGACAACATGAAGTTGACGATAAGGCTAGTTTTTTATATCAGGAAAGTTCATTCTCAACTATGCTGTTATTGTTAATTTTAAACCTTTACATAATATGTTTATATTGTTTCCCAAATTTTCGTATTTTTATTATTCCTGGAGTTCAATGAGCAATTTGGGAATAGTTGGATTTGATGCAGAATAACTAATTAGTAGTTTTGTTTTGACTATGAGTTTTTTTTAGTTTGAATCTAAAAGGTATATAAAATTATTATTGGGGTTAATTTTATGAACGTATGGTTTTCATGAACTTGTAGTACATATATTTGCTAGATTTTGATATTACTTTTCTTATCCGTAAATGAGTTTGGTTATTTCTCTATGCTTGATAGCAAATATAAATGGTTTGATTTAGCAATTATTTACCCATGTCTAATGCCTTGAATGTTTGTAAATTGTACGAAGTAAGCCAATGCACATGTGAAACTATTTATAATTTATGTATTGAATTATGTTTTTATATTTCAAGTATGATATGAACCATGTGGTTTTCCACTAACGTGAACGTGTTAATATTGGTTGCTTATGTGCTTGTTTCTATTTTCTAATTAAGCTATATCAGGCAATATATCGATATAATTGATCGATCCGACGGTATAGTCGATTCAATTGATTCAGGTATGTTTTTATTAAAGCGTGAAGTAGTAGGTTCTCATATTATTTTTACCTTCTCATTCAATTATAGTATTATGTACCTATTATTATTATCCTTATAATTTGATAAAATTATGAAGCATACTATATATACATTATATTGATTGATGTGTGATTAAATTCAATTATAGTATTATGTACCTACTTGAAGTTAGATTATTGGAATGAATGTAAATTGAATATGATGTGCGGACCTGAAGTTCCTTATATTTATAAAGAATATTCATTCTTATTTTTACCTTCTCTTTCTGAAAAATGTAGATGGATTGGTATATATTCTCGTACATATGGACTTGAAGTTCCTTAATTAATTAAATATATAGCAAAAAGTGTGTTATGAGTTCAAGTAATTAAACATGACATTGTGAGAAACTATACATAATCAACGTTTTATTATGCCTATAAATATAAGAGGTTTTGTTTTTTTTAAGATGAGTGTAATTGGGCATGAGGAACATGATAAGTGTTCTATAAGTATAATTTTATATAAGCATGTTTTTGCTAAAAGAAACACGTTACTTGATACATGATATTGCCAAAAGAATTTATGGCTTAAAAGTTGCAAGAATTTTAAAGGTTGTTGGATTGATTCATTCCATACCCCCATATGCAAGGAATATGGGGACATTTTATGTAATCCTTGCATATAAATAATAAAATACATTGATGG